AAAACCATGTTTCTATCTATTGAACCAATAGAGCTTGGCTAATATGATTGTTTGGGCACCAGAATTAGGCACTTTTCCCACGTCCATTTGTCCATCTATTCATTCCACCTGTGGAATCATTATTTTTTGATGAATTGCTAATGTTAAAATTTGGGAGATTTCAAAGGCAAAAGTCTGGATTTCTGATTTTATCCGTGTGTGTATTATGTGTATATACACATCTAGTCACACACATTCACAAACATATGTTCACACACACATATATTCATACATAGAGATCCACACACACATATTTGCACACACACATGTACTTACCCATGTACATGTATACACATTCACACATATATTCACACACATATACACAATCATTCACACGTATTTGTAGTTACACACACATATCTACACACACATGTTCACACGTACACCAAACAGAGAAACATTAAAAATGGATGAAAAATTGTCCCTGAAGAACTGATTTGTAATTGTGCTGATTATAAATGTAGGTGGGAAGTGCCCCTTGTCTTCTCTCTTTTTGGGGTGGGGGTATTGCGACACCCCGACACGTGTCCTAGTGCCTGGCTCGCTGTCTCGTCTGAGTGGACACGTGGCCTCCATGAGCATTTACCTGGTGGAACTGAGGTGACTGTGTAACTGGCTGATGTCATGTCACTTCTGACGGCCAAACCCTCCACAGCAGAATGCCATGTCCTGGTCTGAGGCCTTCCGGGGTGTCACGTAGCCTACTCCTTGGGCTGCAGATGGGAGCCAGGGGCCAAGTTTAGGCTCTACCAAGTCTCTGAGTGCCACACGGTGCTTCTGTTCAAAAACATTGTCTAGCATTCACATTTGGGGAAATTTCAAATAAAAATGACTGGATGTCTGACTTTTCTTTAAAAGTCAGGAGACCTGGTCATACTGTACAGATCTTCCTGTTAGGGGAACAGCCGTTACTTAGGGCTGGGAGGCAGCTGCTTTTGTCAGTGACCCATAAACTAAACCCCACACATACAAATACGTGTGTATGTATTCACACACATTCATTTGCACACATGTTCACACATGTACATCCACACACAGACATATATATTCATACACGTACATAAGCACTGAGTTGATTCCGACTCGTAGCAAGCCTGTAGGACAGAGTAGACCTGCCCACAGGGTTTGTAAGCCTGTAAATCTTTGCAGAGGCAGACTGCCTCATCTTTCTCCCGCGGAGGGGTTGGT